TCAATTCTAATCATGTAGCGAGGAAGATTTCCATTTTGTAGTCACCCCAATCATGATCTGCTTGGGTGTGGTTTGTGTGTGACAGAAACAAGATAATCCAATGTCTATTAAAATATCTGGGGCGGTCGGGTAGCCTAGTGGTTAAAGCGTTCGCTCGTCACGCCGAAGATCCGGGTTCGATTCCCGACATGGGTACAATGTGTGAAGCCCATTTCTGGTGTCCCCCGCCGTGATATTGCTGGAACATTGCTAAAAGCGGCGTAAAACCATACTCACTCACTCACTCACTCACTATTAAAATATCTGGTTTGTTTTGCCGGATTCTAGCAATCAAATTACTGTATTGGTAGTCATAGCACTGGTGTTTGGTCCAAATAAGGAATTCCATTGTGGCATAATTAAGTCATAGGATACCAGGGATCAGGAAACCAGTTTGTGCATTGTGACTACAAAATGTCCTGAAAAAGTGCAAACCTGACATTTTAAAATTTGCCTACCAGATATTTTTGAGATCGTACTTGCAGGACTGAGACCAGATATCCTAACGAAGGATATAAAACAAAGAGGTACAGGCAGACTGAGAAAGAATACATGTTCAAATATCAGACCCTGTGCGGATTCCAGATGAGATTAGAATATGTTGGTCGTAAGAAGCGATCAAATGAATCTGGTGTTTAGGCTCGGTGACTTGGTTGATTGTGTGTTGTAACGCACAGTGTGGATCGTTGATCACAATATCAGTATCAATCACTGGATTGTCTGGTCCAGGATCAATTATGTACAGGCACCAGCCGTACAGCTGGAAGATGCTAAGTGTTAAACAGCAAACATACACACATATCCCACAGGATTCATATAATTCAGCAACCACACTGTAACTAAATCTTCATTTTCAACAGAAGTCCTCTTCATTGTCAACTACACACAACTAGTTGTTCCCACAATAGCACCAGTAGCCTAAATGTTCTTCCATGTGTTAAGGTAAGAAAACCTCATTTCTTTCCTGTGTGTGCTGGAGACAACTCCTATGGTTTTGCTTGCTCTAGCACTGGTTATGTTGCCACTGTTTTAATAGTATCCTATCAGTACTTTTTATTTGCATTAAAGAAAAGTTACTGCCTGGTTACATGAGTATTTCTGGGGTTGGTAATTAGTGGGTTTTTTGTCTGTTATGGCGCTGGCTGTCCCCGCCTCTACATGTAAAAAGTGTGGACATTTCATGGTCACTGTGGACCCGCATAATTTCTGCTAGAAGTGCAGAGTTGAATTATGTATCGAGGAGTCCCGTTGCAATCTTTTGCACTCCCCTCTCCAAGATGACTTTCTCGAGCTAGATATACCTCCTTCACGAAAGCCAAGCCTTAGAAGACGGCTAAGAAGAAAGTCAAAGCCATCATGTCTTTGCCTGACGCAGCTTGGGAAAATCACTGAGGTCTGTCAAGATATGACTGAATGTTTCCAAGTCTCTACGATAAACTTGGCAGTTAAGGCCCGCAGCATGTCGTTTCCCCCTGAACAGCCTCATGATCCTTCCAGGGATTATACTGTGAACCGGCTTGGGAGAAACTCATACTGAGTTCTTTCACACCCCTCGTCAACATGACCGTTCCCAGGCACCATCTAACCTTTTTAGTCTTTCAGACTCCAAACGTGGTGGATCAGGACGAAGAAGCTTCAACTTCGGGGGTCAACCTCAAATGACCCACCCTACCTCCGCTCCTTCCACTGTCACAGATCCGTTCAACCTGGCTTTGTCCTCAGGCTAAGATACACGCCTACTGCTTTTCGGGGCGGTCCGGTAGCCTAGTGGTTTAAGTGGTCGCTCGTCACGCCGAAGACCCGGGTTCAATTCCCGACATGGGTGCAATGTGTGAAGTCCATTTGAAGCCCATTTCTGGTGTCCCCCGGACGTGATATTGCTGGAATATTGCTAAAAGCAGCGTTAAACCATACTCACTCACTCACTCACTCACTCACTCACCTACTGCTTTTCAAAGTTACACCGGCACTGGGTCCAGTGGGAGGTTGTCTTTTGTCATATACCACAAATTTGACGCACATTATGTCCGACTGCTGGATACTTGACGTTATTCTTCACGGGAACAAGTTTGCACTTCAACAAACATTCCCGCCTTGTATCCCGTCCAGTAGGTCACAGATTTCGGCTGGTGGGGGCCAGACTGGAGGCGGACGATCCAGCCATCAAGACCTTGATCGCCAAATGGGCCACAGCCAGGGTTTTTAGTCTCCTGTCTTCTTAGTTCTCAAGAAACACTTCACAGAAATGAGGATGATCTTAGATCTCGAGACCCTCATTAAGTGATATTTGGACCCAAATTCCAGATGGAATCTGTTCAAATGCGGCGTTCGTCTCTAATCTTCTTCCTCTAGTGGTTACATGTTTTGGAAAGAAGTGAGGTTTCTTATTAATAAGAAGAACTATTTTCTGATTTTTCATTTAAATTTAAAATCCAGACTATCAGATGAAACAGATTCTATTGGGCGTAAATGGCAAAATATCTTTGCAAAAAAAGCACCTGCCTTCATATGTTATACTGCTTTGAAAGTTGTGACATCACACTGTGTTCACCAGGAGTTTTGAGTGAGTGAGTTTAGTTCAATACTGCTTTGAACCTTTGTTAATTAAAGCATGTCAGCCTCATGTTGGCAGAATGCCCCAAATAATGCAGACATTTTCCACTTTGGTGAACCAGGGCTGACAAACCTGGAACATAATCAGGCTGAACTGGGATTCAAACCCACAACCATACATTTCTCGAGTCCCTAAGGGACATAACTCTGCACAGCTAATTGCAGTGCCTTACACAACTGGGCCACCCACTGTTTAAGGTCCCTTGCTCTCCAAAAGCATTAGAGGTGATTTGTTTGGATGGTCAGATTTGATAAATGGCTTGATTGTATATGATTGTATCCTAATGGCATGGAGCATTTATAATATCAAATATAATATCAAATATAATATCAAATATAATGTATAGTTTGTCTGTTACAGTCTCCATTTACAGGGGGCATGGGTGGCCCAGTCGTCTAAGGCGCCGTGATTCGCTATGCAGAGTTGCGTCCCTTTGGCATGCCAGGAACCTATGATTGTGGTTCGAATCCCAGTTCGCCCTGTGCTCGTGGGTTTCACCGAAGTGGTATATGTCTGAGACCTGCATCGCTTCGGGCTTTCCTCCAACATTAAGCTGACAAGCCGTGATATGACTGGAATACTGTTAAAAGCGGCGTTAAATCCAACTCACTCACTCACTCACTCAGGTTACAGGCCTCCATGAAATAGCCGGACTATTGCCGCCTTCACTGTAAAACCACAAACACTTTTACGTGCTCCCATAGCAGAACAATTATGTCACAACTTGGAATAGTCGATCTTATTGCACTGACAACTCTACAATACGTAGAGATCAATATGCTTTGTGATCTTTATTCCAGTAAATGTATTATTAACCACTAACAGTGCTTGGGCTGCCTTTATTTACATCTTCTCACAATCAAAGTCATATTTTGGTATATGCCAGAAATAGAAATCGGATAAAGATTTGTAAAAACCTTGCAACTCTGATCTTGCACTTCTAACATGACAATTGAAAGAAGGCTTCCGCGGTGCTCTGGGAAATAAAAACAGAGTCTCACGAGAAAGGGAAGAAAAAGAATAGGAGCACATTTTGACATTTTAAATTAGTTTAATAACTGTCACGTAACATCTTAAACTTGAGCTCAGTTATGTCAAAAAGCCATGTTTGTACAAAGCTGGTACATTTTTTGTGACAAAAAGTACAATAGCAAGCAAACAACTAAAAATGTTATTAACAATGAACTGTACAATATAACATTAGGCAGTATCACATCTCGATAAACAATGGCCACCGTCATTTTGAAGTATTTGTTAAATAAACATGAAATATTCCTTCAGTTGCAAATTCAATCCTATTTCCATTTCCTTTTTTCGGTATTTGAAAAATAATTTGAATATTCATTACTATATATATATATATGCATATAACATAAACATAGTTTTACACATTGTTTTTTTGTCTTGCATTTAGTTCCAGTTATCTTATTTTTTATTTTAAAATTTAAAATTTCTAAAAAGAAAGTTGTATGTATGTGTCAAACATTGTTCAAACATGATTTGTCTTGCATTTAGTTCTAGTTATTTTTATTTTTCATTTTAGAATTTAAAATTTCTGAAAAGAAAGTTGTATGTATGTGTCATATATGTATACAATCGCCATTCTGTGCATGGCTTGTGGTTAATTTTGTTAACATGAAGGTCATCTGTGGCTCTTGTTGAAACAACATGTTTAATAGCATATTTTAGATTGCAAATATATGGCCTTGTTCAAAAGGGTTTTGCCTGAATGAAAAAAGTTCTGCAAATAGGTGCATACAATTCTTTTTATCAATCATACACTATTCAAGGAGAAAGTTATGTATCTGCATGTACCGGTAAATTCACATCTTCTTGATTTGTTTTGATATTAAATTATGCATGACATGTTATTTACAGTGTTATTCTGGTTAGTTTTCATAAGTCTAGAACTGCAGAAATCTAATTTGAGGTCTTCACTAATGAGCACACAGATCTTTATGAAATTCAAACAAATTATTGATTTCAACATGTATTGGTTGGTTGGTTGGTTGTTTTACGCCGTACTCGGCAATATTCCAGCTATATGACAGCAGTCTCCTTTGAGAGACAGCCATATGAAGTCTAATCTGTTTTCCATTGAGAGGCAGTAGGGTAGCTTCCTGGATAAAGTGATCGTTTGTCATGCAGAAGAAAAGGGTTTGCTTCCCAAACGTGTGAAGTCTATTTTGTCCTAATCTTGTTATTGAATAGTCATTTAGTTGGTTGGTTTGTTTTGATGTTTAATGCCACACTCAGCAATATTCCAGCTATATGATGGCGTTCTGTAATCAGACAATCCAGTGATTAATATCATGAGCATCGATCCACGCAATTGGGATCAATGCCATGCATCAACCAAGTCAGCGAGCCTGACCACCCGATCCCGTTAGTTGCCTCTTACGACAAGCATAGTCACCTTTTACCGCCAAAATGGGTTGGTGAAGACCTATTCTACCCCGGATCTTCACGGGTCTAACATGTATTAACTAAACTTGAGTATTTATCTTCATGCCCTTCTTACACATTAATGTGTGTGTTTGTGTATGTTTGCGTATGATATTTTCCTTATCGCATATTCCATATAGTTATATTGTATACCACTCCATGTGGTGAATTCTGAGCCATAATATTGTAAATATTTGTTATTAGAAAATGTCCTATTTATACATATTTTCTGTTGTAAGTTACAATAAATTTTACAGATTATTTTTGCAAATGAGGGAATATCCTTCTTTTCTGAATATTATGTATATATTGCATAATGTATCATGCATTTATATATATATGCACAATTTTCAGTATCATTGAAACAAATAAAAACATAATGTACAACCCATGAATTACCAACAGCCAGTATGTCGCTGACACTTGTGAGTAACTGTTTAAGGCGAAAATTTGTGGTAGCATGTTTGCATGACCTTGAGAAGGGGTCAGGGCCCAAGGTCACAAAACATGCTGTTCGCCTTGAACAAAGTCACTAACAAGTCTGTTTTTACAGGGAAAACATACATCAATCCTCACAAGAGATGCGTTCATTTTGAACTATTTCAAAACATTTTATTATGACCGGACAAGTCAATATGCTTGCTTCTGTCTCCGTGTCACTGTGATATATGAGTTTGCATATGGCTCTCTCGTCCCTACAAGCCATGACTAGATATAATAATCTACAGGACTGTTCCACAAGAACAGCCACACTGAAGCTTAAATAAGGCAACCATTATCCTAAAGATCAGTAAATATATCACATCTGATACCATTCCATTTGCACACCAAATATTAATATTTGGTCATGCATATCCTTTGTATCGTTCCATGTCATCACAGGTATAAAATCCTTCATATACTTTGCCATCACAATGGATCCAATTAGCAGACAGCTTCTTCTTAGCTCTGTACATAGAATTACAGTTCATATTGTCTTCAAGAACATTGTCACTGCTTCACATCACAAGACGAACCTTTTGAAATCTTTCAATCTGGATAAGATGGATATCCATCAAGAAGATCAAGAAGAAAGCTCATCACATGGCATCTTCCAGTTGCTTATAAATTTTTCAATGTTTAAAATTTTTATTCCTGATGCCAAATCCTGCCAGCAGGATTTCACAAAGCTGCTGTTCCTGGACAAGCTCTGGATCTGACAAAGTGTTCTTGTTCTTGTTTTGTTCCTCACACATGAACACTTCCCCATGTTGACACTGTCTGACATCAGAAACATCTCACCATTATCAGTTATGAAGATGTTTTTCTTCACGAAATTTTCCATTCATGACACCGTGTAATTTATAGTGGAACATGCTTCAGCAGGTCGCATTGTGTTAATATTGAATAATACATTTGTAGGTAAGCATAGGATGACAGCCACAAGAACACTCCTTAAGTGGGAGATCTCCACCAAACGAATTTCAAGCTCAGGGATTGTTCCGTGATGGTCAATATTTGATTCTGAAGATCACCCACCACACTCACTCGACACAGGTTAGAGGCACTGAATGTTTTACCCAATGTTGTGTGCATTCTCATAGATTCATGTAAAGTGGTATCCAAGGCAAATACCTGTATCATTTCAGCTGCATTTCAGGAGTGTTGAACTCTTCAGCAAGAGTCTGCCCTTGTCTCATCACTATACCATGGTCGTATCTGTCTTTACAACACTGTACGTGGCCCCGTTCTGCTTGTGATATTTACTGAAGAAGGTCTTGTTCTTGCCGATGAAGAGGTTCTTGAAGGTGTTCCTGAACTGCTGACTCATGATGCAGTAGAGGATGAAGTTGACGGCGCTGTTGATGAGAACCAGAATGTCCATGAGGTCGCCCAGTATGATGTACACCTCCCACAAATCACTACTCATAGAACCTATTAGGGCCAGGATTCCTTGAGGCAGCTCTGTTATAACAAAGAACATCACAACAGCCACCAACATGACTGTTGTGCGGTTGTGCTCGTTGGATTGGTGGTCGTGGTCAGATGCCCGGCTAACTTTTCCGAGGAGTCGAGCACGGCGTCTTTTCGCCCGCTGCATAGCTAGGATTAGCAGCGTGCTTAGAAACACCAGTAAGATGCAAGGGAGGATTTTTATAACCACCCCGTAGACCCATTTAACGAAGGACGTATACCATACATGCTTATGGGCAAAGTCAGTTTCCAAAATCCAATAGCACGTCGTAGAATTATGGTAGGTCGTTCCTATATCCACTACCCGGTATATTACATAGTTGGGACAGCAGACAATGATGGTAACAATTACGATTAAGCCTACTGTCAGTTTGGCTCGTTGGAGACTGCATAGTGTCATGGCTTTGGATGGGATACATACAAATATGTACCGGAACACTGCCAATGCGACTGTCAACCACATTGCCATATTGTGACATGTGACGATGAATAGGTTGTGGAACAGGATAAAGTACATCCACTCTTTGGGGTGCTTCACCTCATCACAGTTGGGTTGGCTGATGATATACAGATAGGTTGCCATGATCGGGTACGTGCTCATCGTAAGCATGTCTGCTATTGCCAGTGCCGTGAGGATATAGTTAGTTGGTGATAACATGTGCTTGCGCGTGAGGACAATTATATTCAAGGCATTGGATATAATTCCGAAAATACATACAGCAATGCTGAGGTAGCCATGAATCCGGCCATAGGTGGTGCCAAATTGCTCGATTGGTGACGGAGTCGTGGGTGTCAACATTTGAGTCACAGCTTCCGTCATGTCAATCACAACACTGGGTTTGAGAATGTCGGAGCCATTCACCATGGGATGTCCATTTTGGTAGCCAATTGAATTCGCAGCCATTTTGAAGTTGAATCAGGTTATTAATCCAACAGTAATTGCAATTGCGGCAACAAAAAATTCAGATCCCAAAATATCCTTCAGAATGAAACTCACATGCAAACGAAAGTATTTTGAATCCAAAACAAACACAATGTCTCCAGAGTAAGTTTGTTTATAAAGTTTGGGGATATAAATTTCACTTACCACTCCCTCCTAGAAGAAGAAAACAGAGTTCACACGGTGAGATAAAACCACATTCCGTAATCGGAAAGCATTAGAGAACGGCTTCCAGCAACTCCAATCTAAATGCAAAAACTGATCTAATGCTATGAAGAAGCTTTGTCTCCACTTCACATGATACAAGGCACAACGGGCTTGCTTCCATGACCAATAAACAAAATTCAGCTGATGAAGTTACGACGTGTCATTCGGCTTCTCAAGGTTCCGTCAACTAATTGCCACCCAACTCAATCCATGTGTGGTTGGTAGAGGCTCCTGGAAAGGAAACGGCTGCAACGGCCCTTCCTTTAATTTTCATCATCCTCTCAAAATTAGAAATTGCTGTTTGGCTGTTGGCTAATGGTAATATTGTCTCTTCAACCTCCGGGTGGGATTTACACTAGCTCCATCTGGTAGATTAAGAAGAAATTTAATCGTCTTTTGGAGACAGATTTAATTTTGCTGAAAGTTATATTCCCTGCCACTGCATCCTCCAGTGAGTCTAGTTTTTATGAAGTTTTTGTAAGGCTGTAGTCTGAATCTTTGTTTGATTTGTAATTACCTTCATGGTAGTCTTTGATACTGATGAATTATGAAAGTAGTTGACGCCACTCGTTCACTTGATTATACCCTTCAATTCTCACACATAATTAGGTTCAAGTCCTTGATCCTTTCTGTCTCACAAACTACATTTACTGTAGCTGCAAAATGGTTTAGAATCCAGTTTTCTTGAGGACAAATTAATCAAGTACAGAGCAGTCATCAGATGTAACACTAGAAATGTCCGTCAAGTGGCAAACTTGGCGTTCCACGGAGTCGACAGGCAGAATTACAACCAGCATGGCAAAGTGCGTGACAGAACATGCTTCTTGTTCTGGCAGAAGAATACAGCACACACAGGGTCACAATCTGACACGTATTCAGAGAGAAAGTTTGGAAATAGGTGAACCTCTCGACTTCCTGTCTTGGTATTGATCAATCCTCAGCTCGATGATTATTCCCGGCAGTCAGGATAATCCCCGTACTTGAAGTCACGGTTCCGCAAAAGTCTCGGGCACCATCAGCAATCACCACGAGTCCTGCCTGTGGTTTAAGTCTGAAAAAAACAAGATGACGGTGTGTTATTCATGGGCTTAGCGTACCCAAAAATACCATTATTAAAACAAACAGAATTGTCAATGAGGATTTCTTGTTGAAATTGGAGTGAAGATTTCCGAACGTATGTTTTGAAAAAAAAAGAGGCAAATTTTGGAACATTGCGTGGGCTGTATTGATTTTGAAATAATTATTCCTTGATCAGGTTTTTAGGAAATGCTTGTCAAATTTGTCAGGTTTTCTGTGCCTATGAATCTTGTTAATTATGATGAGGGGGAATATTAAAGATGACAAACTCTCCGGAATACATTCCAAGTCTTCAAAATAATTGGTTTTGTCAGCATTCGGAAAGAAAATTCTTCGATGGGATTATGAACAATGGATAAGAAGGATTACCGTTTTGGCGTTTGAGTGTATGGCACCATAACTTTCTTTCAAACAAATTCTTTAGAACTGGAAATCCTTATCGTGATAATATGTGTGAGAGAGGGAGGTAGGATAAGGGCTTTATTGAGCCCACTGGAAATGTCAAATTTAAAGTTGCGGACAACTTTGAAATAATAATAATAATAATAATAATAATGATTTGTCCATTTGTATGGTGCCAAACTCCATACCAGCTTGTGTGCTCATGGCGCTTACATTATTACCCCAGTCAATGGATCAGTGAGCACTCGATTTTCATTCTCAGCTCCCTGAGGAGTATACAACCCAAGCTGCCCGTGAGGCGCAAGAAGGTTAACAGCCACATTACCATCTCATCCTACCGGGTATCCAATATTGGTATGAAAATTATCGGACATGCTAAAATGGCTGACCGCAAGCCAGTTTTCTTTCTTGAACTTGCAGGAGCAAGTCTGAGAACCATAAGGAATTTTTTTAAGTATTTGAAATATTTTTATGTTCATCCAATGAGAATCAGCTTGGATCAAAGACTTCCTCGTGTTCAAATGTTAGAAAGCCTTATAAAACCTTCAGGTAAAGCTCTAAAACAAGCCTTTTTGACACATATTATCATGACCTATGCATTCAGTATTATCACAAAACATGCAAGTGTTGAATAAAGTATAATTCTCTTTCAGATGAAGATATTTGATAACTTTCATGACATTTTCTTCACACACATTCACAAGCTCATACACAACCATCTTGGCTAGAATATAGCTCTCAATTTTTTCAGATTGGCTCTGATTTCCATAATTAGGTATCAGTCCTTTTCTCAGAGTAAATGGACCGCCTCCGTGGTCTTGTGGTAGAGCGTCTGCCCGGAGAGCGGAAGGTCCAGGGTTTGATCCCGGGCCGCGTCATACAAAAAGACGTTAAAAGATTGTACTTGTTGTTACCCTGTCTGGCGCTCGGCATTAAGGGGCTTAAACAAGGACTGGTCGGCTCAGAGTCAGTATACTGTGTCTGAGTGGGGTATTCATGTTAAACTGCGGCATGGTATCTCAGTGAGCTAGCACTATAAATCGGCATCAGTCCGGACTAGTACAAGCAGCCACACACACACATACACGTGCATGCACGTCGCTATATAAGTGCAATAATCTTGGACGCGACGTTAAACCCAATTTCACCTCACCTCAGAGTAAATGCCTTTCTTATATCCTAAGTCTTAACACTTGTCGTGTCACATTTGAATCTGTCTTGAATTGGTTGAAGGAGTTCTACATTGTGTCAGTATAAATTTCCATTGTTGGCTTTCATGCTTGTCGTAAAAGGTGACTATGCTTGTTGGAAGAGGCGACTTATTATCGGAGGAGGCAACTATGCTTGTCGGAAGTGGCGACTATACTTGTTGGAAGAGGCGACTATGCTTGTCGGAAGAGGCGACTATACTTGTTGGAAGAGGCAACTAAAGGGATCGGGTGGTCAGGCTTGCTGACTTGGTTGATGCATGTCATTGTATCGATGCTCATGATGTCACAGGATTGTCGGGTCCAGACTGTGGCGTCAACAACAAACAAACAGTGCCTTTTTCACAAATAAGTTCCTTTGGAAGTAAAACCAAGGGCAAATGATGCCATGGCTGGTAGCTCAAGGGTATTTAGCAGATCCTATTTTGATAGGTTTATACATAGATGGTGCAAGTAGGTTCATTGCCATAGGATTCAGTAAGGATACAGTCAATCCGAAAACATGATTCAACTAGATGCATGGATGGAGGATTCACATGGGTTTATGAACAGATGATTCAATCAGCTTCATAGATAGATAATTCAACTCAGCTGCTTAATAGATAATCCAGGGGCGGTCAGGTAGCCTAGCGTTTAAAGCGTTCACTAGTCATGCCGAAGTCCCTGGTTCGATTCCCGACATGGGTACAATGTGTGAAGCCCATTTGTGGTGTCCCCCAGCCATGATATTCCTGGAATATTGCTTAAAGTGGCATAAAACCATACTCACTCACTAATAGATAATCCATCTCAGAATATGATTCATCTATAGGTCCATAAATAAATAAATAAATAAATAAATAACCTAGATTTATTGAAAGAAGATTCAAGTATAGATTCATATACAGATGATTCAACTAGGTCCATAGATGATTCAACTAGGTGCATAGATGATTCAACTATTAGTTCATAGATGATTCAACTATTAGTTCATAGATGATTCAACTTGGTTCGTAGATGATTCAATTAGGTTCATAGATGATTCAACTATAGGTTCATAGATAGAAAATTCAGCTCAGTTCATACAAGATTTGGCTTTTGGTTCATTGATAACTGATTCAAGTGTAGGTTTATGGATAACTGATTCAGCTGTAGGTTTATGGATAACTGATTCAGCTGTAGGTTTATGGATAACTGATTCAGCTGTAGGTTTATGGATAACTGATTCAGCTGTAGGTTTATGGATAACTGATTCAGCTGTAGGTTTATGGATAACTGATTCAGCTGTAGGTTTATAGAATACTGATTCAACTGTAGGTTTATGGATAACTGATTCAACTGTAGGTTTATGGATAACTGATTCAGCTGTAGGTTTATAGAATACTGATTCAACTGTAGGTTTATGGGTAAGGCCTCTGGCTAGATGTTCAAACAAGGTTCATGTATAAAGGATTTATCTTCAGGCATTGACTGATGGCTTGAGTGCAGATGATCTCAGTTGTTTGAAGGATGGATAATTGTTGCCTACGGTCAATTTGTAGATGGTCTTAAAAGGTTGGTAGGTGCATGATGAATGGTTTTACTGGTCTAATGAGTGACTGGATAAATCTTTCGGGGCTCTTTCACAACCTGGCGATGTTCTTATTTAAACTGCCTCAGAAGTGCGATACAGCCAGAATACTTGACAAACTTGATATGAACTCGTTGCAAACAAATGATGACTTACAGGTGCAAATGAAACGCCCCAATCTTTAGTCTGGTTGAAATAAGAGATGGTATGTTGTAGAAAGTCTTGTCTCCACCAACACAATCATGTCTCCTACCCCCCAGCACTTCAAGATGTCTTTGTTTGGGGTCGGACTTATCCTTCATTGAATAGTACCATTTGTTTTTCTGAAGAGCTTTCAGCATAATGATTATCCACTTTTACCACGCTTCAGATATGTTAAGCAAATGTAGCCTAGTGGTTAAAGCGTTCGCACGTCACGCCGAAGACCCGGGCTCGATTCCCGCCATGGGTACAATGTGTAAAGCCCATTTCTAGTGTCCCCCGCCGTGATATTGCTGGAATATTGCTAAAAGCGGCATAAAACCAAACTCACTCACTCACTCATATTTTTTGGTGCCATTTGTATTGACTAGAACAGAAAATTTGATAAGAATCTTTGTTTTTATTTTTTCTATCTTGGTAAATGCATGTTAAAATTTATCAGTGTTTGAAATAATTGCTGGCCTGCTAGCCAAAGGCCAGCGACATTTAAATTGGATTTGTGACATTCATAAAGCTGGCTCCAAGTTGAACATTCTTGTCATTACTTATTTATTTCTAGTTTTTTCTTCGAATCATCAAGTCAGTTAAGGTATCATTAAATGTCAAAGTCTGCTGTCATATTGTTTTCATTTCGTAGTTTATCGGAAACTGAGTTCTTTATGAACACTGATTATGACGGATTAACCATGCTAGTGAAAGTCTAAGAACCACCACGAACATCAGACAAATGTATAGTGCCAAGCAATTTATCAGCTTTAGCATAATGATCTCAAGACTATTTCAATACATATTGCAAATGGCGGCCTCCATGAAGCAGGTCGTAAAATATGACGAGGGTTTGCAACATTTTTCTTAACAAGCTTTACTGGCCAATGAACTTTGGAACTAATTCAAACACTGTTATGGACTAACAACACTTATATTTGTTTGCAAATTGTGTAAGTGGCGGGTTCTACCAGTAGAGCGGGACATGCTTAAGCTTACATGAAGAGCTGGTGTCAATTTTCAGTGATCCATTCATATAATTGTCACCACTATTTTGCCTTTAACGCCCAATGGATTCTGCCGAAGCAGATAATTAAGAATGATTTTTCTGGTGTTGACGTTGTGTACTTAATGAACACAATGACAGGCTTTAGTCAAGGCTGTTTACAAAACAGAATCTCATCCGCCATTGATACTGATGGAGCAGAAAAGATTCTTTTATTTTTTTCTGTCATTGACATTGGGTACTAATGAAATGTCTGCTAGAATGGTTTAAACAATGCGTTAGTTGACTTCAAGAAACGACTTCTTTTTTTGTCAATAAACTTGTGGGGGGGCACAGGTGGCCCAGTCGTCTAAGGCGCTGCGATTTGCAGTGCAGAGTTGCGTCCCTTGGGCACACCAGAAACCTATGGTTGTGGGTTCGAATCCTGGTTCACACCGATAACATTTCTAGTTTTGTCAGTACCATACCCGTCCGTGCTCGTGGGTTTCACCAAAGTGGTAAACGTCTGAGACCTGCATCACTTCGGGCTTTCCTCCCACATTAAGCTGAGACGCAGTGATATAACTGGAATACTGTTAAAAGCGGCGTTAAACCCAACTTGTCTGTTGTAACATGGATTAGCGGAGACAAACTATGACAGCTGTTACGGTTTGAAAAGAACAGTCCTGTAACGCCACTTATGACACATAGTTCTGGGTACAGGTCACAAATGAGCTGAAGTAGAACAACGTCAGTTGTGGAGAGTAGTGGATGGGTGACCATATTGACTCCTGAGAGTGTCTAGGTTCTCGGTCTTGTCCCACACTGAATCACATACAGCACATGTTGTGTCTCCTTTGGCAAGTGACTTGATTCAAAACAGGGGGCACGGGTGGCCCAGTCAGTATACAGTATCTGAGTGGGGTATTCATGTTAAACTGCGGCATGGTATCTCAGTGAGCTAGCACTATAAATCGGCATCAGTCCGAACTAGTACAAGCAGCACAGCGTTAAACCCATTTCACCTCGCCTAAAACAAAATGTTTCCCATCCCATAGCTATTCTTCCCCCCGTCTACCATTTTACTGTCACAGCTTTGAATAGCCTTGCAATGATCAAGAAATAAGAGGCAATGAAGGGTGCTTTATGACTAACACATGTACAGCATTCAGAATGGATGAGTACCCATGTGTCTTTGGTTTCCACTGGAATGGCGTCAGAAATACATTTGTCTCCTTGATGTCATGCTTACATGTCACGACTTTGAATACTTGTGCAATAAGTCAGTGTTAAAAGTAATCAGTCAGAGTTTACAACTTGGTGATAAGAATTGAAAGCCTGGCTGGGAATAGATGAGCTCATGCCTTTGGAGCAGCAAGTCTTTATTGCCATGCTTTTAACTAACACACCTTGAGATCTTCGAGGTATGTTTGTGGTTGAAGCAATCAGTTGGATTTTACAGCTCTTAAAATTTGAAACATGGTTGAATACCCCTTGTACTGTAAACATAAAGTAAAAACTCCAACTCCAGAGAAATAGAAGTCCCGATTATCGACCTGTTTTCGGGATAAAGAGCAACAGAGCAGTGAAAATTATATGAATTGATCACTGAAAATAATATGATCATATCCTGCCTTGCTGGTAGAAACCACCTCTCACACACTGCCAGTGAGTAAGGAGTGAGTGAGTTGAGTTTAACGCCGCTTTTAACATTATTCCAGTTATATCGCGGCGTGTCAGCTTAATGTGGGAGGCAAGCCCGAAGTGATGCAGGTCTCAGACGTTTACCACTTCGGTGAAACCCACGAGCACGGGTATGGTGCTGACAAACCTAGAAACATAATCGGGGCAAACCGGGATTCGAACCCACAAACATAGGTTTCTGGCGTGCCCAAGGGACGCAACTCTGCCTAGTGAATCGCAGCGCCTTAGACGACTGGGCTACCCGTGCCCACAGGGAGTAAGGAGGTGTGAAATCTCCCTGGTGTTCACAAAAAGGGTACCCATGGTTGGAATTGCAAGTGTATTGCAGTGTTATGTAACTGTCATGACTTTGAATGTGTTTGCAATAACAAACAATGGAGAGTAACAAGCTGGGTTTTTTAACCTTTGTAAGGTTTCACAGCATGGCTGTATCATAGCAACACTAATTATTTTGACTGAAGGAAATCTTCTAAAATCATCTGAATAGTCTAATGTCGTCATGTCTGTTTTCTTGTTCTTTATCATGTCTCCAGTTCTTTGAAGCGTGAGCTCCATGTTGATATTGTCTGTACTAGTCCGGACTGATGCCGATTTATAGTGCTAGCCCACTTAGATACCATGCCACAGTTTAACATGAATACCCCACTCAGACACAGTATACTGACTCCGAGCTGACCAGTCCTTGTTTTAGCCCCTTAATGTCGAGCGCCAGACAGGGTAACAACAAGTACCATCTTTTAACGTCTTTTGATATGACACTCCCGGGTATTGAACCCCGGACCTTCCACTCTCAGAGGCGGTCTGTTATTCAGTAAATATGTCTCATCATTAGAATACAAGAAATTTCAAACAGTCTACCTCTTATTTATTTTCCTCAGTCAACATTGACACTATAGTCCATGATATCAGACATACCAAAGTATATAGAATTAATTCTGTCCTCGTTTGTTGTTTAACGCATTGCTCAGCAATATTCCACTTATGACCACAGTCTATAATTAATTGAGTGTGGACCAGACAATCAAGTGATTGACATCATGAGCATCGATCCATGCATTTGGGAAACAATGACACGAATCAACAAAGAGAGTCTGGCCCCCTGATCCAATTAATCTCTTCAGACAAGCATAGGTCATTGAAGACCAATTCTTACTGGGGCCTTCACATAGGCTCCTGGCGATCTTTATTCTTACCTGGAATCCCTGAGAGGTAAATCAATCCTTGACCAGACACACCAGTAGTTAATAAACGTAACTTTATTGGGATGCTATCAAGATATGAAGACGCATCGTGGGCTGCTGCTTGACTCACAGCCAAGAGTTCATCTTTTTTGGTGGTCATCCATTATAATGGTATCAACGGCCTCCGTGGTCTAGTGGTAGAGCGTCCGCCCGGAGAGCAGAAGGTCTGGGGTCTGGGATCCCCGACCGCGTCATACCAAAAGACGTTAAAAGATGGTACTTGTTGTTACCCTGTCTGGCGCTCGGCATTAAGGGGCTAAAACAAGGACTGGTCTGCTTGGAGTCAGTATACTGTGTCTGAGTGGGGTATTCATGTTAAACTGCGGCATGGTATCTCAGTGAGCTAGCACTATAAATTGGCATCAGTCCGGACTAGTAAAAGCAGCCACACAAACACGTGCATGCACGTCGCTATATAAGTGCAATAACGCGACTTTAAACCCAATTACACCATACCTTATAATGGTATCTCATCTCATACATCCAATCTTCAATTATCTCTGCATTTTCTGTTTCTATGGACATGCTCTGAATCTCATTGTATGTCTCTTTAAAAGGTGACTATTTGTGTGAAGCAGGCATCATATTTATATATATTTGACTTATTTTTGCTACATTTCATAAACACATACTTATATATTGTCGTAATCATACTATCCACTCTGTTTTTGAGATTTCTGTATCGCTTTTATTATTTGAATTAAACTTTTACATTTAATATAGAACATCAGACTACAAATTATGTGTAGAATAAAATCTCATTTAGAATAACAGAGGTTTAAAAAAGAACATTTTTCAATTTTTTCATGATTAAGGTACTTATTTTAATTAAATGGAGATATTTAAATCATATAAATATTAGTTTGAAAACTTCCAGGAATAAAAAGTTACCATTCCAACATCTAGTTAATAATTTTTAAATCTGAAGTTGTTTATATTATAATCAAAGATATTATTTATGATCAGATGATAAGAAATGACAACAATGAAAGCATCCACAAATTATGGAAGCTTATTAATATTATTATAAGGGTAATGCTATTTTTCAGGGCATTATCATGTGCAGAAGCCTGAGGTCTTCCATTAAATGCCCGACGAAGGAGGGCAGTTGAAAATACCGAGGGCTTCTGCAAATGATAATGCTCTGAAAATAGCTTTACTGTTATTATAGCTAAAATGGATGGAATTTGTTATGAAATAAAAAGAAACAACAATATCTGTTTTCAAACATTTACCGCAATCAACACGAATGTCACTGACCCACTTTTACAAATATGGAAACGGCATAGAACAAACCAAATGACGTCACTATTGAATGTGACGTCACCTATCCCTATCCTATGACGTCACCTAATAATGGGCGTGATAATGGCCCATTGTCAAGCAATATGAGGGTATTATCAAGTTACAGTGGCCCGCTCATTTCTGAAAACATGTGGGCGGTTTAATGATAATTCTATCCATTTTAGCTATAATATTATTTAAGTGCTATCCTGATGGGCCAAGTTTTTAGTGTATGTAAACTGATAGTGGAAGGAGGAGAAAGGTATGTACTTTTGGCCAATGACCTCTCAGTATTACGAATAATCACATACCGTATTCGACGTATTAAGCGCCCGGGGCGCTCTCAAAATTGGAAATAGTGGGCTCTTATTGGAATATAATTTTGTGTGAGAACAAAAACAGTTTTAAAATTGTAAATTTCGTACAGTAGTTTATGCTGACAGCCTGAAATGATACAAAAGAAAAGTATGCATGTATCATACACAACAGATATATTTTCCAGAATTTAATTGCCCTTAATTAAGGGTGCATATAACACATGAGTGAGTATTATACACGAATCAATAAGTCTTGTGTACATTGCTCAATCGGAAGGGGTGCTAATTGGGATTGTTCACTAGCAAATATATCAGCAAATATCACCATAGGCGCTTATTAGAGCGGGGCGCTTATTACGTCGAATACGGTTTATATATATATAAAGATAAGGGTGTTTTTGAGTTAACATTACTAATTATCGCAGAGAGACTGTGATATACAGATGAGAATAATGGTGATGATAGGAAATATGATGATAACATTTCCTGCAATGAAAACAAGAGTTTTCTTCCGTGTTGTAAATGATTTAAAAGTAAAAAGGTTATAAATGAACTTTTAAATCATAAAGATGTAACAAATTTAAGTTTGGTGAATTAGTGTTTAATGGAATCCATACGAAACCTTAAAAATAACTTCATGTGAGCTTAAAAGCACTTTGGATGAAGAGGGGATGGATGTTTCTTGATTTAAAAAATAATCTTGTTTGTTTAGTGTACGATTGAAATACTCCCTATTAACCCCAAAAATGTGTTATTGGTCCCTAAAAAAGTTGTCATGAAAAGGTTGATGTCTTTAGAGGTATTTTTTTTTTACCTCATTTACCTCAAGCTGTAAAATATGGGAAATGTCCAGACAGCAGGCTTCAGAGATGAAGTACATGATGTTCCACAGATAAATTATCAGAAGAATTTGACTTTCCGCAGATAAATTGTCACAAGAACTTGAATTCGGCATGTTTTTGTTTTTTCTCCAAAATATTCACTGTTTTTTTTTAATTTGCAGGGTTGAAAAAACTGTGTGGATGAAGCTTCAATCTGCAGGTCACTGACACGATGTTCCAAGGGAGAATAATTAGTGGACATTGATGAATAGGGTGAGTTAGAATCTCCACGTGAATATAATCAATCTCTTTGCACAGTTCAATACTCTATCATCTCAACACAAAATCTATCACCCTCAATGTTAACACCAATTATTGGTATTTATTTGTGAAAAATAAAAAAGATAGATCTGCGCTTTTGTGTCAATTAAATATTTCTAAATGAGCACAAAGATTTATAAAGACCTCAATCATGGAAGTTTGTTGTTCAAGTTCTGTCTGAAATGTTATGTTGACATTGACAGGAGTGGATTTAATAGGCACACACTACATGGAAAATTGATTACCATGTAAAAACCGTTATTTTTATTTTAGAGGTTTATTTTGAAAAGTGATTTGTAACCAAATTTGAAATGCTTTTTCTCAAATGCAAACAAGACCTTTGAAGGTCACACAAGGGGGAAAGCTAATTAGAAGAAAATATTCATTTATTTGTTCATTTTCAATAAAGCCACTTTAGCTCTCCAGAAGCAAAGCTCCGAATTGGCTGATGGCGAGACCCGTTGTTCTTCGTCTTTCCAGTCATCCTTCAGCTGAGGCCAAAGCCTCAGGAGGATGCATACCACCATTTTAGTGTTTTTTCTTATGGTTTGAAATCAATTGGGGAAAGTCTTTTAAAATCTTCTACCCAAGATTTTGAAACATTGTCATGATGTGTAGCAGCACAATGAGGCTTAATTCCAGTATTCTGAGACTTGTTCCTGGAATTGAATTGACATATGCCATGAAGGAAGTGCCTGAGAAAGGAACTATCTGACAAGGTCTCGTGAAGTTTGGAACAGGGGTGTAGGGAGTGGGAGACGGGACATTTTTGGGATCTTGGTACAGCAGCTGCTTCAAAACAAGCAAAATAAAACTTCCCTGAAGTAATATATTTGTTTCACAATACATACAGACCGCCTCCGTGGTCTAGTGGTAGAGCGTCCGCCCGGAGAGCGGAAGGTCCGGGGTTCGATCCCCGGCCGCGTCATACCAAAAGACGTTAAAAGATGGTACTTGTTGTTACCCTGTCTGGCGCTCGGCATTAAAGGGCTAAAACAAGGACTGGTCGGCTCGGAGTCAGTATACTGTGTCTGAGTGGGGTATCCATGTTAAACTGCGGCATGGTATCTCAGTGAGCTAGCACTATAAATCGGCATCAGTCCGGACTAGTACAAGCAGCCACACGCACACATACACGTGCATGCACGTCGCTATATAAGTGCAATAATCTTGGACGCGACGTTAAACCCATTTTCACCTCACAATACATACCTTTTCATGACATCATGCACGTGTAGCGAATAAAAACAAATTAATGTAAGACCTGAGGACAAATAATTATTTTCAGAAATCTTTTTTACACGCACACACGCACACACGCACACACGCACACACGCACATACACTGATGAAGCACTGATGAAGCTACTGAAATCCAAAGGGGATGCATGACCTGATTGTTTACAGGCAGATGTTGTATGGCGTGGGTACTTCTGTGTGGCTTAAGGCAATAAACAAACACTTACTTTTTTGGGCAAATTGTGTGTGTCGGGTTCTGCCAGCAGAGCGGGTCATGTTTACCCTTTTCGCAAACAACTGGTATCATTGATGATTTTCAGCGCTCCATTCAAATAATTTTCACCGCTATTTTGCCTCTTATGCCCAATGGAATATGTTTTGGCAGATAATTGAGACACTGACATTATTTATTATCTAGGTCACTGTGACATACTTTTTTTGGGTTAAAATAACAAACAAATGAATTTGATTTTTCTTTGATGTGCAGATGCATTCTTGTTTTCGTAAAGAGATACTGATAGATTAGTTACACTTTTCAAAGAATTGATGGTAAATTTGACTTAAAATGTTTGGATAACAGAACATTGGCAATGAAAAATATTATTATTCATGATAGGGCCTCTGTGGGTGAGGATGCAATCTCAGTTCAGAAAGATATCAACATTACTGTCATATTTCAAAGGCAAGAGATGTGTCTGAAATTAAATATACTAAAGCATGTTATCTCTGTGCATTAAAGGTATCAAACAACAAACTCATCAAACTGTAGGTAATATCAGCATATCGGTCATATTTCAAAGGCATTCTATCTCTATTTTAAAAAGAAGATTGCAAACGGTTTTAGAGGTAGAACATTTTCTTGTATACATCAGTTGAATGTTTCTTGTTTCTGGAATTTCTTAAAAATATTTAATACTGAAGGACTATAATTATATAGTTCACATTCCTTTATAAAGCTCTAATGCAGTCAATGTTTCTTTGGAGGTTTTTATATTGAAAATAATTGCACTTTGGTGCATAGCGGTGTTTCATGTTGTTTCAGAATGTCATGTGTGTTTTCAAATTTCAATGCAGTCGAGAGTTTCTCTTCTTATACAATTCTCAGCCTACCTCCATGGTCTAGTTGATAGAGTGAATAGCTCGTGGTTCGATCCCCATACACATCATACCAAAAGTCGTTAAAAGATGGTTCTTGTTGTTACCCTGTCTTGTGCTCATTAAGGGGAATAAAGGGGGTTGGTTGGCTCAGAGTCAGTAGACTGTGTCTGAATTTGGCTCCATGTTAAACCTCTTACCCGCGTGCTACAATTAGAGTGAGTGAGTGAGTGAGTGAGTGAGTGAGTGAGTGAGTGAGTGAGTATGGTTTAACGCCGCTTTTAGCAATATTCCAGCAACATCACGGCGGGGGACACCAGAAATGGGCTTTACACATTTTACCCATGTCAGGAATCGAACCCGGGTCTTCGGCGTGACGAGTGAACGCTTTAACCACTAGGCTACCCGACCGCCCGCTACAATTAGAGATAAACATACTGTGTTTTCAATGTAGTGCTAGGTTGCCTGTTGCCTGTTTATCGTGCTGAATTAAATTTGGAACCGCGCTCACACACACACACACACACACTCACATATTGCCGTACAAGTGCACAAATCTTCAATGTGACAATAACCCAATTGCATCTCAACTACAAATGATTATGAGTATCAACTGGTCAAGCTGTTGCTGATATTTGAATGAATAAATATATCATTCCTCCATGTCTGATTGATGAGATCTGATTAGTCCATGTGATCTTGTTTAAATACTATGTATCCCGCCTTGGATTGAAATATATTTCTCAGTGGGAGAATAAATCTCTTATACCCCACCATGAACAAGTCAGACTGCACATGGATTTCTGATAGGGTGCATAATTCCCTTATACCCCACTTTGAGTAAATGAAAGGCTCATGACATAGCAATAGTTAACTAGCTGTTTTCTATCAATTTTGAATTTGTTTTAATTCCAATACCATGTCATATTAGAACATGTCGGTAAGTTTAATTTGTTGTAGCAGGATCACTTGGTTTGGTTTGGTTTGGTTTGTTGTTTAACGCTGCACTCAGCAATATTCCAGCTAAATGACGGCGGTCTGTAAATAATCGAGTCTGGACCAGACAATCCAGTGATTAATATCATGAGCATCGATCCATGCAATTGGGATGACATGCATCAACCAAGTCAGCGAGCCTGACCACCCAATCCCGTTAGTCGCCTTTTACGACAAGCATAGTCACCTTTTACGGCAAGCATGGGTTGCTGAAGACCTATTCTACCCCGGAATCTTCACAGGTCAGGATCACCTGAGGATCACTCAGGGTACGCAGGTTTTATGAGTGCCTCATTAGGTTTTATCCCTATGAAGCCTAACGTGGGACACATAAAACCCCATGTACCCCTCGTGATCCTACTGCAACTTATGGTGTTTCATGAAGTCATCCTCATCACCTCTGCTTTGTTTATAGCATAGAGTTCAAAACAGTGAGGGGCACAGGTGGCCAAGTCGTCTAAGGCGCTGCGATTCGCTGTGCAGTGTTGCGTCCCTTGGGCACGGCAGAAACCTATGATTGTGGGTTTGAATCCCGGTTCGCCCCAATTATGTTTCTAGGTTTGTCAGCACCATACCCATGCTCATGAGTTTCACCCAAGTGGTAAACCTGTGAGACCTGCAACACTTTGGGCTTTCCTCCCATATTAAGCTGACACGCCGTGATATAACTGGAATACTGTTAAAAGCGGCGTTAAACCCAACTCATTCATTCAAAACAGTGAACCTTGTTGGTTTAAATGATAACAGGGTGAAAATACTTTGTGTCTAGCTTTTTTGTTTTATAGTTACGTTGCAGAATATCCATGTGTTTATTTCCTGGAGACAACTGTCAACATTTGCGTAAGGGGTCACCTGTATTGTAATATTGTCACCGGAATGGCGACCGATAATGACTGTATCGGATATTGCAGATAGCTGAACTGGTAGCAATAAGCAATAGGCACACCATGTTTATTTCTGGCTATAAGACAATGACATATGAAGTATTATTCCCATGGTAACTGTCAAATTCAACACTGGTGAATATGGCAACAACAATATGGCCGTGTCATTTACGGTTTGATTGACGTGTGGGTTTTAAAGGGTTTAGCTTTGAATTTTTTGGTCATGTAACTTGTGACTTAGTTTGTATTGCTCTTGTCGTTCTTGTCATTGAATATGGTAATTATGGTTTTTGACATTAATGATAACTGTATCAAATATTGAACGTTAACTGCAGAAGTGGATAAGGGGAATTTGTATTATCTGGAGTATTGATTCTTGAGGTGATGGTTTCATGTTTTCCTCATAATCAACTTGCTGCGGAATATAGAAATATTGGTATAGAGTTTTTGTTAACTCATGTGCATGATGGGCGAAGTAGCTTCATCATTTTTTATATTTGGTTCAAACATAGAAAATAATCATCCTTTTCCTCCTCATTTTCTTCATCAATAATAATATTATCATCATCAACATCATCATAAATATCAACATCATTATTTGCCTAAAAAATGATGTACAATTATTATTCATATCATCAAATTCAAAGTGGCATTTAACCCAACGCATCATCATCATCATCATCATCATCATCATCATCATCATCGTCACATTCATCATATACCTTAAATGGGGCCACGTGTGGCCTAGTCGTCTAAGGTGCCGTGATTTGCTGTGCAGAGTTGTGTCCCTTGGGCATGCCAGAAACCTGTAATTGTGGGTTTGAATCCTGGTTCGCCCCGATTATGTTTCTAGGTTTGTCAGCGCTATACCCCAGCTTGTGGGTTTCACCGAAGTGGTAAACGTCTGAGACCTGCATCACTTCTGGCTTTCCTCCCACATTAAGCTGACACGCTGCGATATGACTGGAATACTGTTAAAAGCGGCGTTTAACCCAACTCACACACTCATTCACTCATATACCTTAAAAATAAAGTTGAAATGGTGGCATTATTCTTATCTATATCATGGGCAACATCGGCAACATCAGCAACATCATCACCATCAGCAGCAACAGCATCTAGGCTATGCTATGGCTGGAGTATTTCTAGTGTCATCAAACCAGTGTGATCATCCTCATCTTCATCACCACCACC